AAACCCTAAACCCCTAAACCCCTCGGTCCTTTCCAAAGGGGGCCCTAAACCCTTCAGAGCCTCGCCTCGCCGGCCAGCATGCCAAGGCCCGGCTTCTTCAGAGCCTTGGCCTCTCCTGGAGCTCCTTGGGCTGCAGGAGTTTAGGGCTTCAGGGGTTTAGGCGGCTTAGGGTTTTAGGGGTTTAGGGGTTTAGGGTATAAGTTTTAGGGTTTAGGGTTTCAGGGCTTTAGGAGTTTAGGGTTTAGGCGATTTAGGGTTTCCTAGGGGTTTAGGGTTTAGGGTATAAGTTTTAGGGTTTAGGGTTTCAGGTTTCAGGATTTAGGCGGTTTAGGGCTTTACGGGTTTAGGGTTTAGGGTGTAAGTTTTAGGGTTTAGGCTTTCAGGTTTGGGGTTTAGGGTTTAGGGTTTTTAAAGCCCCTCTTAGGGTCTCGGGCTTAGGGTTTTTTCCGGGTTTAGTTTTTCCGGGTTTAGGGTTTAGGGTTTAGTAGATACTGGAAGTTTTGGGGTTTAAGGTTTAGGGTTGAGAGGGCCCTGGGCTTAGGGCTTCAGGGTGTCTTTTTTCTCTCAGTACCTCCTTGCGAGAAAGCTTAAAGTTTAGGATTCAGGCTTTCAGTTCAAAAGGTTTGCGGCCTTGGGGTTTAGCGCGACTTCGGGCTGGGAGTTCTCGGCTTCCGAGGGTTCCCCCCTAGGTAGGTCTGGTGGGACTTCGTGCTCCCACTACCAAGATGCCAGCAGCTGTACAGCAAGGACTCTGACGCTGCGATCTTCATGAATACTACTGCCATCATCCCCACACCTATAATTCACATTAGCCGCGGTTGGGGGCCGGCACATCGAAACGTTTCTCCACCGTCAGAGTCTCGGATTGTTAGCAAGGCTCCTCGAAAGAGCACGAGTCTACAGATCTGCCTCCAGAACTTAATTTCAACTCGCGAAAAACCCTAACATCCTCAGCCATTTCTCAACATCTCTGGATTTGCTCCATACTTCGGCCGTGTAAGTCCGCGCGCCCAACAGCCCCACCCAAGCAGCCGGCTGGGCCCCACATCTTCCGGGGCAGACTTCTCCTCCTGCAAGTGTAGGGCCAAGGGTGACCAGCGATTCGGTTGACTCGACACCTCTGCGCTCAACTTTATGAAAGAGGGCACTTATCTCGACACAGCCGCTTACCTGCAAACCAGACATCAAACACCTGTCATCCGGTCCGGTATGGTACACGAGCAATGCCCGACCGGCACAACATCGCAAATGCTCTCAAACCTCGAAGAAGCCACTTGCAGTCTCAAACCCTTTCCACCTTGCCAGGCGTAGGCATCTTGGGGCTGGAGACACGCTGCCTGAGGCTTTTGGTGTGCCGAAAACCGACTGACATCTGTGTCCAAAACACTCAACTCCCGCAGGGTCCTGCTCTCAAGTGAGGCAAGGTTCGGGCCCTGTCCCTGTTCCACTACCCGCACCACCACAACCAGCAGCACTGGCGTCAGCATCCGGTCTGCCCCCCGGCACCACGACCTCCACTCCAGCTTGGCCCTCAGTCCTCGGAAATTCCAAGCTCCTGGCCCAGGCTCCTCCCGACTTGCAGCGACTGCACCTGGACTTGAGAAGGCTTTTTGGGGGTTGCAGGCTTGAGATCTGGGGGATTTGGTGTATCAAGGCGCACAAATCCCCCGGCTGCATGGGCTGCGAATCTCGAGGGTTGCTTCGAGCCCCGAAGCTGGCAAAAAAAGAATCGGGATCATGACCGATTCTTTTGCGAAAGTCCGCATGAGCTGAGCTTCAGGCCTGCAACGGCCTCCAGGCGCAACTTTCGCGGCTGCTCCTTGGGTCTTCAGGTGCGCTTCGATTCTCTCTGGGAGGTGTGTGATGAGGGAGTTGACACAAGAATCTAGGTCTGACCTCCGCAATGTATGAGCAGAGGATAGATACTACTGCCAGCTACCACCGGAAGCATGAGTCCCGCATCTGCAGAACCGAGCAGTCTTCCTGCTGTGGGTTTGGACGGAACTCCGATCATGAGCAAAAAACCGAGAGTAAACCTGTCCCCCAAAGTCAGTCGTAAACCTTGGACCCCGGTCCAATCCTACGAGTCTTACGAACCCTCAGGCAGCGGCAACGACTTCACGCCAGGATGCCTGCACGCAAGACGAGGTTTGAATCTCTGTTTCGCTCTTGTCGCCGCGAGCCAACACGGGCCCTGAACCGATTCGGGCTCGCCTGCGCTGCCTGGGTTGTGTTTTCTTCAGTTGGAGTCAGTGGGTCAAGGCCTCGAAACTCGTGGCTGGACAGAAACCGCGCTGCTGCTCCCATTGATGCAATAACGGTGACACCTGTTCGACCCGTACTGAATGGTTGATGCTTATCTAAATCCTGGCCACCTTAATAGCCTCACACGATTGCAAAGTGATACCGGGTTACGTGCTGCTTTAGGCTGATGGCATTCGGGCTGTAGAGGCTGGCGTCCGAACGCTCCCCCCGAAAGTCACACGGAGTGCATCCTCCTTGACCAAACCCTTAGAAAGAGTTCAACCCACGACTCTAAAACTGTCGAACCCCACCCCAGGTTTCCCGAAACACCCAGAAAAGCTGTGCAAGGAAAGAGAGGGAACCTCCAGTGATCCGCTGAAGTCCTCGAGGCAACGGGAGCAGTCAACATTTAGTGCAACAGGAAGCTTGGAGCATCGTGGCAACTAGTATTGGGATGATGTCGGTGATGGTGACGATGATAAGGAGCGATGAGGATGAGGGCGATGATAACAATAACGGTAGCCATAATGGTGATGACGATGATGGCAAGGACAGTCTTCACCGCATCATCGTGATAGCAATCAGCAGTGCAGGTGCAAAATCAGGAGTAGTGGTGGTAGCACTAGTAGAGAAGTAATCGCAGCACTAGCAGTAGCAACAGGAGCCACCGCACAAGGACTAGCTGGTTGTCTTGCTTTTGATGTTGTGGTTCCTCATACACTTCTCGCAGTAGTAGGAGTCGTCGTCGTAGTCGTAGCAACGAGTGTAGCAGCCGTAGCGGTTGTAGCAGTAGTAGTAGTAGTAGTAGTAGTAGTAGTTGTTGTTGTTGTTGTTGTAGCGGTCGTGGTAATGGTAGTGGTAGGCGTCGTGGTCGTGATACTAGTAGCAGCAGCAGCAGCAGCAGCAGCAGTAGTAGAAGTAGTAGTAGAAGTAGTAGTAGTAATAATAATAATAGTAACAGTACTAGTAGCAGTAGCAGTAGCAGTAGCAGTAGCAGTAGCAGTAGCAGTAGCAGCAGCAGTAGCAGCAGTAGCAGCAGTAGTAGCAGCAGCACCAGCAGCAGCAGCAGTAGTAGTAGTAGTAGCAGCAGTAGCAGCAGTAGCAGCAGTAGCAGCAGTGGCAGCAGTGGCCGCAGTAGTAGCAGTAGTAGCAGTAGTAGCCAGAGTAGCAATAGTAGCAGTAGTAGGAGTAGCAGTATTAGTAGTAGTAGTACTAGTAGTAGTAGTAGTAGTAGTAGTAGTAGTAGCAGCAGCAGTAGCAGTAGTAGCAGTAGTAGTCGAAGCAGTAGTAGCAGTAGTAGCAGTAGTAGGAGTAATTAGCAGTAGTAATAGCAGCAGCAGTAGCAGTGGGTCTTGTGGGTCGCGTTGAGTAGAAATGAGCAGCGGTACGGGCGGGAAGTAGTAGGTAGTGGTAGGCAGTGCGTTGCATGCCTTGCTACACGGTGCTTCCCACTCCCTGCGATTTCTGATCTCCTTTAGTGTGATGAAGAAGCGCTCCACAAGCTCGTCTTCCTGGCGTTCTGAGGTATGGACAGAGCATCTATGCCCTGCCACAGCTACAAATGCATTCACAC